CCGGGAATGTAGTCGTGTATTGATAATATTATTCTCTCGGTCAACAGTAGCCGGAGAGAAGCGAGTCTTTCCCGCCATTCGTCGTTAGTTTGGAACACAGTTCACGAACTCGATCACTAATTTGTGTTGCCATTCGATACGTTCGCTTAAGCAGAGTGACGTGGTGACACCGGTATTTTTCCCCCATTTCTTTTTTTTCTTTTATACATCACGTACAAAGGCCCGCCTTGTTCGAAACGTAATAACTATAGTGTGAACATATGACCATCATACGTAGAACAAACGCATCGTGCGTGACCTATTTACATCAGTTTACGAAACAAGTCATTTGTGACATGCTAGACATTCTCGACTATGTTTCTGACAATACGCACGTCCGATTCTGTCAATTTTACAGTACGTTGACATGACGGGTGTCTCTAAATCGGTTAGACTGTAACATTTACCGCGTGCGAAACCGATTCGGTTGACAACTAGAATACTAGTTGGTATATAGCTTGGGTTGGGGAATAAAATATAAGTTGACTTTTATCTAACTCGCATCGTTTGAAACGAAGCGAGAAGAGCAGCTTAAAGGCTAGAAATGCACAACATGCGTCAGCAACACGATTATAATAGGTTGCGCAAGCAATGGCCCGGTCTTCCACGAATTGCTCCTCCTGCGCGTCACTTCCGGCCAACGACGCGCGTCACTTCTCTCCGACGACGCGCGTCGGGTCCGACGCGCGCCGCGTTCCGCAGCGGTAACCGAGCTTGCCGGCCTTGAACTTGCCGCCCTGGATCTTCTCGAGCTCGCTGCTCAGACACGGCCGGCGGACGTTCGGTATGATGACGCCGTACGCCTCGGCTCGACTGCGTCTCCCGAGCAAGTCCAGCCATCCGGAGCGCTGCAGCAGCGGCATCTTGAACGTGGGCAGAACGCTGTGCATCGACGGACACATCTCAACGGGCAGGCGGGCGCGCTCGAAGAGCCGAGCGAAGGCGGCAACGACGTTGGCGTTGCTCTTCGCCGACGTCTCGAAGAGCGGCACGCCGCCGCGCCGCGCGACCGCCGACTCGGCCTCCTGGCGGCCGACGACGCGCTGCGCCTCGCGGTCGGCTTTGTTGCCGATGACGACGATGGGGACGTCGGGCGGCGATTGCAGAGGAGCGTCGCGACTCAGCGCTTCGTACTTGGTCGCCATGATCTCGTTGAGGAGGTCGGTCATGCCGCGGAACGACTCGTAGCTGTCGACGCTGTAGATGACAAGGAAGAGATCGCCTGCGAAGAGCGAGACGACGGCAGCGTTAGATTGACGGCTGGACACGAATAGATAGGTTCTATCACAGTCTGAGCTTGAGATGGGATATCGAATTATCGATATCCC